TCACTTTTTCGTTCACGATTTCTGTTCCCAAAAAGATTTTCGAATTCACGATCCATCTTGAATTGCCAAAAAGATTTTCTATTCGAACGAAATAGTGAAAAAGAAATTCACGATTTCCGTTCGAAAATTACGATTTCTGAATTCACGATTCACGATCTCCGTTCGAAATTCACGATAGCTCTCCGGTGTCGATGGATTTCTCTCAACCAGTTACTGATCTCCGTCTCAGTTCTCGTTCCTGGGAACGGAAATTTGAAGTTCAAATGACCGTTTTGCCCCCACTTATATTTAATTTAAAATGGGTTTGGTTTTTTCGGCTAAATTTCGCCGGTGATTTGGCCGGGAGGACCAAATATGTTAAAAATTACATAGTTACAGGACTAAATTGTTAGTTTTTAAAGTCATGTACTGAAATTAACACGCCCCCTATAGTCATATGACCAAAAGTGTAATTTCCTCTATTGAAAAATTTGTGGTGGTTTTTTCAGTGCTATTAGGAGAAAAAAGGGGAGAGAAGGTAAAAAAATAATAATAATAATAATAAGTTACGTGTCTAGCATGGCGCGCGGTAATTATATTCCACACATGTACAAGGTGCATGCGCGATAGCTTTTTTTATTATTATTTTTTCTCCATGGGTACCACATAAATTTTGATTTTGCAGGAAAAAAATTCAAAAAAAAAAAAAATACCCTCACACCCATCAGTTAAAAATTCCACCGCAAATATTTTGTTCGAAAAAACCTCCTCAAGAAGCATTATTGGTAAGAGATATATATTGTCCTATATTTAGTTAATTATGATACATTATGTCGACGCTTTTCATGAGTTCACCCTTCACAGGTACATTATGCCAAATTATTATGATAATGTACGTAGGTGGTAAAACATTTAATAAATTGAGTTTGACTTATTCATGATTTTGAATGATCTAATAGATAAGCATAAGTTGTTGAAATTAAATCTGACAAGATTTGAGACCTCTAGAGTAAAACAAATGTGAATGATCTAAAGCATTACTATAGATTATTGGGTATCACATAGATCAAAATGGTGAATTTCACAAAAGTTTAATACGGTAAGAAAAAAAAATACGGTAAGAATTTTTACTTCACCTTCAAAAGGAGAAGTCTCTCACTTACAGGGTCCTCATACCTCAGCCCTCACTTCTTGGGTGCCCACATCCCAATCCAAAAAGATTGTGGATGGCTAAATTAGGATGACTCAACTCACATCTTAGGTGGGAGATGAGGACTAATGTCTGGTGCCCACCACATTAGGTGAAACTCTTTTACTGCAGCGGCAGAGCTCGATCAAGAGTCATCACTCCCAATCTACCAGCTCTGTATCGTACCAATTGAGTTATTCATGTGGTTGATCTGGGTGATAATAAACCTTACCTTGGCACCCCACGATGGCTTGCGTTGAAACTTGATGGTGATAAACCAACCCCTTTAACATATGCGTGAACTAGAGATCGATGAGCTTGCACAAATTATATAGCTTTTAGAGAAACCTATGCACTAGTAATTTTGGCCTATGTATTTTTTGCCATGGCTCTCAAAATGGAGAGGAAATCCACAAATTTCATTCATTAATCAATATATAAGTTGAAATGGTTGAAAATGTGTTTAAATACATAGGAAGGTAACCTAAGCTAGAATTAAAATTTGTTAATAAGGGCTTCTAATTTGAATACTACAAAGGAAACTAAGAGTAGGAGGCCAAATTTTAAAAATAAAATAAAGAGCAATTACTTCCATTAAGTTAAAAAAAATAATAAATAGAGTTAGGTCTTTATATATATATTTTCCGAGTACTACTAACTTTGTTACAATGTAATATCGATTTATATCCACTTTCTCAACTTATTGAAGCACAAAGAGTCAATATCGCTCCCACTAAGGCTCCAATCCAGGATCTCTCATTTAGGAGGGTCACTTCATATCACTAAACCACAAGATCATTGGCATTATAGTAATTAATTTAGTCTTTGAAATACTCAAAATGCACCTTTGCTTCCACGATACAAAAATGTATAGAAAGAAGTTAGATGAGAAAGGTGTAACAATTCAGCCATTATTGATGGAAATGGCTGCGGGTTGGTAAATCTTATTTAAGTGGATAGTTTATAATTTTATATTATGGATTAAATTAAATACGAATCAATTAATTTTTCCGCGTTTGACAAAATTATAAAATCTGCATCTTTTCACTTTATTTAATTTAATAATATTTATTAGAAAGACACTTCATCAGTTCAATCAATATAATTACTGACAAGTTTAGTCAATTTATTAAGAAAATAACACTTGGTGATTTTTATTTTTTTTGAAAACAACACTGGTGATTTATTCACAAGAGAATGTATTAGGTGAAAAGAAAAGGGTGAGTGAGAGGTCAAGTAAAGTTTGAAGCAATGTTATCTGTCTTCTCACTTTGTTTGGCTAAAGCTTGTAGTTTGCTCTAGTTTAAGATAGTGAAGAAGTAAATCCTCTCTTTAGTTGTTTGAGAGTAAAAGTTCATATCCCTCATTACATAAATGAGAAGTATGTACACTATAATTAGTACAAGCTAAGTTACAAAAAATTTTATTTTAAAATAATCATGACTTACGACACATTTACTAGCTATAGATATTTTCCCATATTGATTCGTTGATGTACATATGATCGATGAGTACACTAGTAGAGAATTGCTATAAAAAAAAATGTAACAATAGGCATCTTTAGTTACAACAAAAGATTACTAAAGTCAATGTCACGAGCGAAATTATGAGGTTAATGGCTTCATCATTACACTTATTTTTGATTACAGGTATCTAGTTTATAGCTTAGCTTTGAGGAGGCGACGTTCACACGTGTTAAGGGAAGGTAATAAATGTATTGATTTCCTGGCAAATCTTGGTCAGATTAAGGATGCGGGAACAATTGTATGAGAGGAACCACCTGAAGACATCTTGGGGATTTTTTCGATTGATGCCAGTGGTGCTAGATTCAGAAGGGTCAACTAATGCTCGCCTTGGGCGGGGCGTCTCACAAAAAAAAAAAAAAAAAAAAAAAAAAAAAAAGAAAGATGGTTGGAGTCATGAAAACACGTGGTAGCAACTAAAGATGCCCTTACATTTTTAGACTTTGCACGTTCTTGACTTTGCTCGAGTATGAACTTGGATCCTAAAACCACTCCTCCCTTCCTTTAACCTTTAACAATGACTTGAGTCTAAATGAATTTACCCTAAATCATATATTCCATCAATTAATATTACTTGATTTCCCAAATCGGTTACCCCAATGAAGAAAGAGGAGTCAAAATTCTAAGCCACAATGACTAATATATTATCGCTAGCTATATGCATTAGTATTTTTATATAGTTTATTATTATTATTATTATTATTATTATTATTATTATTATTATTATTATTATTATTAGTAGTAGTGATAGTTATTTAAACATATTTTAAAAATGTTCAATAGAAAACAATAATTTAAAAAGTAGAAAACATTTCTATAACTAAACAGGGTTCTAAATTCTCAACACCTTCATATAAACCATAAGCATCTTCAAAGGTAGTTGACAATGACAAATAGTATATGTTCTTTTACATTGTGCAATCTCGAACAACTTCTTAAGAGTTGGCACACCTATTTCGCACACAAAAAGAATGCTCAATCCCTACAACTCATCCTTCCTTAGATTAAAAAGCTAGTTACAAATTCAGCTCCATTTGACCTATTAACCTTCTTAGTATGAGTTAATTATGTATAAACAACCTACGTTAATTTACCTCATTGTGGTCCTTTAACGACTAGGGTCACAAGACAGGATTTATCAAGTGCATGCCCTCAGATAATGGTTGTGAATTTATACTCTATAAGTCAAATATCACACATGGTATGATTAAAAAAATATTTATTAAAATAGTAAAATTATAAAGAAAATAATAGAAATAATCAATACATCATGAACTAAGAAAAATATAAAATTAGAAAGAATTTGTAAGTAAATAAGTGTACAAGTTATTATATTATAAACAAATGAAAAATATAAAATCAAAAAAGTAATTATAAGTACATATAAAAGAAATGAAACACGGCATACAAATTATTATATTTAACAATATTATTTAAAAACGGTAACAATTCAAAAATAAATAAAAAAAAAATCTGAAAATTTTTATAAATGTACAAGTAAGTATGATATTTAACTAATTACACTAGCATATTATATATATATTTTTTAAATCTTATTATAATTGTATTTAAAAAAAAATAGATCTTTATTTTTGGGAAAGAGAGCTTTAAAATAATCATGATAAGTGTCTTCTCCCTTTGCAGTTTGTGGAATGTGGATGCCCTAACTTTATGTTGGCTTGGCTAGTTATGGGCAAACCAAACATGCGTATAGGATATGATTGCCCAGCTTGCACAAAAAGACAATTAAGTCATAAAAGTATACTGTAATTAATTAATTAATTAATTTTATTTTGTCTTTAACCAATTAAGTAATTTCCATGTTCACATGCCCAAATTACAGCATATCCTTTTATATAATAAAATTTACATATTAAATGATTATATACCATATATAACAAGTTACCAACCAACTATTATATTAATTATATAATAATATAATGATAAATTTTGTTAATTAATATAAAAAATTGTAATTTATGCTCTTTGTCAATTATTAATGTCATTCTTAATTTTAAAAAAATTCGATTTTTATTTATAATAAAATGTTTTAATGAAATTTTTAAAAATAAAAAAATATTTAATAATATTAAATTAATTAATATAAACCATTTAAATTAAAAACAGGTTAGGTTAATTTATGTTAATTGGATTATAATACAGAAAAGATAAGATCGATTAAGGATAAGTTTATTCATGTTTTTGGACAAGACGTAAAGAAAGTATTTTTTTAATTTTTGAAAAGTGATGTACAAACGGTCCACGTACAACGTGACAACATACAAGTACTGAGGAAGGAAGAAGGTTCGAACCGAAACATACATTCCTAAATTCTTAGTACAAGGAACGAATCTGGGCTTTACACAAACCCCAACTGCATAAACACAGTTACAAAGATCCCTTCTTTGTCCCCTACCCTGAGCCGCCCTTCAATTCGCCAACCCTACCAAAGCCCCTAAAACCCCCTATTTCCCAGCGCTGTTCTTGTTTTACTCCGCATTATTTGAGCCTTCAAGGGTCTTGTCTTCAAGAGTTCTTGAAATTTTGAGAGTTTTTTTCAAGAATTCTTGAAAGTTTGGGGAGTTCTTTGAAGGTATTGGAGTTCTGTAGCTTCTGAAAGGGTGTCTGATTCTGAGTAATTTTTGGATTGGGTGAGTTGGGCAGTGTGAAAGGTTTGATCTTTGATGTGGGGGTTTTGAAAATTTTGCATTTCCCCATATGGGCTTTGGAGATTGGAGCATTTGGCGTTTTCTTCTGGTATGATTTTCTTGTTTTGACCGGCGCGGCTTGGAATAAGTGATTTTCTCTATCCTGTTTTAGCTGCCATGATTTACAGATACTTGTGCCACTGTTCATATATGGCATTGTTTGATTCTTTACCATGAATGGTTTCTGGTAGTTATGTAGAATTTGAGGTTGTTTTTTTTTTTTTTTTTTTTGTTGAGAACTGAATTATTGAGAGAAGTAGGAAGTGTTTTGTTTTCTTAAAAAAAAAAATTGTTTAGCTTAGGTTGTAGTGTGAATATGTCGGGTGGATCACCAACTGTTGGAGGTGGATACATGAGACAGAGGTACAGCCAAGGCTATGCCTCGAGTGGCGATGATCTTGAGGATGATGCTTGTTCTAGATCATTTGCACAATCGCCTTCGTGTCTGAGAACAAGGACATGGGTTGAGGTTGTAGAAAATTGTCTGTGGATTGCTTCGGCCCTATTCATCATCTATTATGGCGATCAAGATTACAATTTCATTTACTTGTTGTGGCACGATGGCCGCATCAGAAGGTATGCCATGAGTTTGAGTTCTTACGCTTGTTAATTTTCGCTTTTGTTCATTTACGTTTGCTTCTTCAATTGATGCTTTATTTCCTTGATGGATGCGTTTTTGTTGGTCTTAGACATACTAGAAGGATTATACATTAGTTGAGTGTTTCGTTATATCCATCGAGAACTATGATCTGCTATCTCTTCCCCTTTCTTGGTAAATTTAGATTTTAGATTTTAGATTTTAGAGTTGTTTGTTCTTTTAATCTCCCTTTTTTCTTGTCAAAGTTATCATTTTTAATTTCATTTATGTTCTTTGAGGACTTCTTGTTGCCTATGGTGTAATCCATTGATTCTGGTGTTGTTTACAGTAGTTTAGCTTGTAATCTAATAAACTGATTTTTCAAGTCAACGGGTAAAGATTTGTAATTGTAGTCTTAAGCAACATATGAGTTATATTTTATACATACCATGACTTTTGAATCTGAATGAAGTTTCTGGGCGGATAGATCAGAATATATAAACCTAAACTTTTTTTAATGATTTATCTTTTGCAATAGAATAATGTCAAATTGGATAATTCATCGAACCTATCTAGTTGACTAAAACCTAACATTTGCTTTTGTAGACATTAGTAGTTTGTAGGAAACTATCTTGGTAAAACCACACATGATTTTGGAGTAACGGCAAGAACTTATACAAGGAACACACGACAACAAAAGATTTACTATATATATGTAAAGTTTTAGTTTCAGTTTTTCTAGAACTCGTTTCTCTTGCTGTCGATATAAGCTTTCTTTTATGTTTCTTAGCTTGGATCGAGGAAGAACTTATTGGTTATTTGGATTGTGCAGAATACCACTGTACATGGGCATGTTTGCGGTTGGCTTGAATGCTATCTTTTTCTTTTATACAATTATGTTAGCGTGGGGAATCCGAAAGTCTAGTGAGAAGTGGGAAACCTCAAGTAGTGCTAATCTGCCCGTTGTCACGGTTCTCGGGCTCATTTCGTTCTGCCTGTAAGAAGAATTACGTTCATGTCTCTAAGAAATGCTTATTATCACACATCTTTGAGTTTAATTAATCTCTTATGAACCTGAAATCTTGGGTGCAGATTCTCTTTTGCATTGTGGCCAATTTGGAGTTTCTTGACCCTGCCTCTTGTGGTATGCCCCGGATTTTTGTGCTTCAAAATTCTAACCCGAAATGAATTTTGATGTTCAATCTTTTGTGTTTTGCAGTTCACTCTATTTATGGCTTGCATGGTTATATTGCCATATTTGGTTCTCGAGAGACTCAAGTCCCAAGAAGATGATTTTCGTATCGATTAGACATTGGTGGCAGTATACATCGCTAACTTAGTTGAAGGTTTATAGATAACACAGACAACAAGATTATGACATGAAACTGATGTTTGTCGGAAATTGAAAGTACATATGAGTTTCATCTGCTACAAGTATTGTTGTACTAAGTTACTGATTGAAAGAAGTATAGATTGAGTTTGGGACAAGATTTTGGTTTGTGGGAATTGGATTTTGTGTTATATTATATGTTCATCCTGAAAGTATGTACTAGGAAAAAGTAGTGTTATAGTGCGGGGTTATTGAATGCAGTGTGAACCAAAATCCATAACTGGGAATGCGGTGAACGTGGATCGAACACGTGACCTTCAGATCTTCAGTCTGACGCTCTCCCAACTGAGCTATCCCCGCTTAGGTTAACAGGGCTTGAGTTCAAATTTATAATTCTTTTGATATTGTCAAGGTTGTTTTGAATTCAATGTGAACCAAAATGCATAACGGGCAATGCGGTGAACGTGGATCGAACACGTGACCTTCAGATCTTCAGTCTGACGCTCTCCCAACTGAGCTATCCCGGCCTTTGTGAAGAAGACTTGGGTTTTATTTAAAAAACTTTGATATTGTCAAGGTTGTTTTGGCTGATGTCTACAGGTTATCATTTTTCTTTGGTGTATTTCGCATGTTAAATTTCAGCGCTTGAGAGAAATCCTACCTAAATTGAACGGACTATTTGTGTTACCTTTATTAATAAAATAGAATGTGATTCTCACCCCTTGCAAGATTATAAATTGAAAGGACTATTTCTAAATCTGACCCATAAACGATCTTACATGAGAATTTGTTAAATGATGATGCATCATATTAATGGCAATTGTTATAGTGTACCATGGGTCCACATGAACCATATTTAAAATAGCAGTTGTTACGTCTACTACGCTTTGTGGCGGGCTCAAATTTTTATGTCATTGGATCATCGAGAATGTCGATTCTCCATCCCCAACAAGGAAGGAATGGGGATCGGGAACACGCTCGCCGCACGGACCTTGCTCGCTATACGCACAATGTAATATTTCTAACTTTAGTCAATTTAATCCTTCTGTGATATTTCTTATTAACAATCGTTTAAGGCATGAGTATTTTAGGAATTTCACATCTCACTTAATTTTTTCTCCAATTCTTTCCCCCCTCTGCTAATGCTCAACCTTGCCTCCGCCTAAATTTCACCATTAATTTTACGTTGTTATGTTAACATGTAATTTTGGCTTTCATTTCATTATTTCTATCTATAAATACCATATATAAGTGAGCTCACAAGCAATCAGAATCACCTAATCCTCAAATCGTCTGCAGCAGTAAAAGCAATAGGTAAGAATTTCACAAGCAATCACAATGCTCAGCCTCGCCTCCGCCGCATTGCTCAGCATCGCTTCTATCGTGCGTTGTCGCGTCACCTCTGGGAGGACCGACTATACCGACACCATTGGGCGTCAGAGCTGCCTCTTCGATTCCCGATCTATGATGATAAATTGCTTAGCATCCCGAACAAGGGTTTTCGTTTACCACTGTGATGTTGAATTATGAATTAAAGGTAAGTTTTTTTTTGCATTCCACTTCGACAACCATCGCGAAAACCGAACCAGTTTGTTCTCGGTCAACGCCTAACATCTTGCTAAAATCTTCTTGCAATCATCTTCTAGTGAGAATCGAATAAGAACTTACCTTGTATTAATATATGCTATTGTCTTTGGTTTCAAAAAAAAAAAAAAAAGAAAAAAAAAGATAGGGTTGTGTGGGTTCCACCATTGAACTCTCCAAGTTTTGATTATGTCAAGATATATGCGAGGTCTTTTTATGTTTGGAGAACGATTTTCAATAGGTACCTTTTTTAGTTTTATTATTTAAATTAATATATTTAATATTTATTAAAATTAAAATAATGTAAGAATCAATTTTGTACAATGTAAATCATTGCACCTAAGTTGCACGATAAATTAGCTTTTTGCAAAAATTGTCAGGAAGAAATCCTTACTCTCATTTCATATTTTGTTTCCTAGGAATTAGCTAAAAGAATAGGTCTAATTGAAATGATAGTTGAAGCTGGGAACTTACATTCTTTGCTGAAGTTTAATTTGTCCAAATATTAATGTGACCAAAAAAAAAAGAAGAAGGCAAAGAGCATGAATGAGAGCTATATGTAATGAGAACATACATGTTGCTATATATCGATCATTTATCTCTAAAATTGTGACCTCATTGATGGTATATACTTTTGGATTATTATTATCAACATATATTGTCACATTTTGAGTAAATGACAATATATAAATTAACCACGTTGTTTAAAAATAGGTAAGATTATTGATTCTTATCAAGCGTAGATACCATATCTAGTATGATTGGTCTATCGTTTGCAGTTTACACTTTCTTAAACACATAGCAAACCTATTTGGATACATCTTGTTGCTTCATCTGTTGAGACCATTTTGTCCATTGTTGGATCTATCAAATAAACTCTTCCTTCTATCCACAAATCACAAGCTTAACAATCATTCATTGGTCCAGTTATTACTCAAAGCAATAAAAAAAAAATGGTTGAGTAATTCAAATATTCAATAAAAGAAACTAAGAAATAGATGCACAAATATATACTTATACAACTCAAATGCAAGATATTCACATAACCAAATAAATTTGAAACATGATTTGGATTATAAAAGTCATTGTTCCTCTTTTCACTTACAATCTCTAAGATCATGACTTCAAAGTTAAAAACAACAAACTTCTCAGAGAAAGGACCATCCATGATTCCATGACATATTTAGGAGACATGTAACCACTGTTTCACCAACACATTATTGTAAATGTCAAACAAATTAAAAATAAAATATAAATAGAGAGATCCAAAAATATATTCATTGACTTACTAAGTCCAAACAATGATTTTTGTCCTTGATCGAGAGTCATTATCTTTAAATATTCTGCCTGCTCCAAAATTTGAATTTTTGGGAAGAATATGAATGTCTAATAAATAATAATATATTCCTTGTTTTAAGATCACTATGAATAATCTTCAACCTTGAATACTTGTGAAGGTACAAAAGTCCTAGAGCAATTTCATCAATTATGAAAAAAAACTTTTTTTCCAATCAATACAAACTTTCTTTGCATCTATATAAAGTCAATGATCATAAACAGAATTAATGGAACCTAGCAAGAGATAAATATAGGGTCTCATTCTTGAATTGCTCAATTCCTTGTCTAGACATTTTTGAGAGCTTCTTTGCTGTAATTTTTTTTAACTATTTGTCAATATTCCCAGAATAGATTAACCACTTAATTAGATTTCAAGTATTATGAAATAGATAATAATTCAAATCAAACATAATTTAACATATGCACTTTATATTAAAATATTGAGCACTCAAAAGCTACACATAGAAAAAAACTATTAATATTATTCATACAAAGTTCTCATTTCATACTTCTAACCTGAAATTAACTTCAAGAATCTGGGTATAAATTCAAGGAGCATAATATCTGTGTTTATGAATATAATAATGGCTACACTGCTTCGAGGGAAGAAGGAAAAGGAAACCAAAGGGTAGTAACTCACCATTGAAGCATATAATTGTGTGAAAGTATAATGGTTTGAGTTTGAAAAGATTTATTTAGGGGTTGACTGCGGCTGTGTTGTTGACCAGGCGGAAAATAAATTTGCGGTGAACGTGGATCGAACACGTGACCTTCAGATCTTCAGTCTGACGCTCTCCCAACTGAGCTATCCCCGCTACGGTTGACAACAGAAGAGTTTGAGCAATACAATAACATTTTAAGGGTTTTTTCGCAATATCAAAATGATAGTTTGGTAAATTATTTTTTATCACATCACTTAAATTATCATGTTCTAAGTTTTAGATAAGATAAATCAACCAACAAGCTGGTAGAATCGTACGAATTGGAGGCTAAATTTTTTTTTATTTTTTAACACACATAAGAATAAATGATATAAAAACATAAGAGGATAACATTGGAGGCTAAACTTAATCATCAAGTTGAGGAGCTTACCCCTCCCCCCTCCCCTCCTTCCCCGTCTCCGTCTTCGGCCCGGAGACGACGACAGGGAGGGGGTGGGGTTTTATTTATTTTAGTTTTCATTTAAAATAATTTAAATAAATTAAAAATAATTTTTTAATAATATTAACGCGACCTTAGCGATATCCTAAGAAACATGTCAAATTGCTTAATTTTTGACAATTTAGAGACTTAATTTCACATTTTAAAGTTGGATGGTCCAATTGCACTAGTTTGGTAACTAATTTGAACCATTTTTCCTTTACAGTATGTTTGGTTCACTGGCATATATTTGAAGGAAAATGGAATTGAAATTCCATTGAAAATGAATTCCATTGTTTGGTTAGTAGAAAATAAATTACTGGGAATATGAATTACATTGTTTAGTTGGGTTTGGAATTGTAAGAAATAATGAGTATAAAGACAATTATACCCCTACACAATAATAACAACAATAATAATGGTAATTAAGAAAAGTTGTGATGTCATAATTGTCCTACTTATTTTTCATGGAAAACAAAATACCAACTATCAAGGTGGGTCATGGAAAATATTTTCCTCATTCTTGAGAAAAATGTTTTACAATGGAAGATGTTTTTTCATGAGCGAAACAAAGAAAAGTTAGTTTTCTTCAAATTCAAGGAAAACATTTTCGAGCGAACGAGAAGTATTGAGTTATGTTTTTCGAACTGTTTTTATAATTCACCATTTTAAAAGTTATTTTAATTGTTCTAATTCTTATTTATTATTTATTCATTTATTTGCATTCTAATATTTAGAAATAAAATGTATTATTAATTCATTTCTATTTTACAAATAGAAATTAATAATTTTATTAAAAAAAATATGTTTTCAACTTATGCACAAAAGAGTCAATATCTTCCCTTACTAGAGCTCAAACCATGACCTCCTATTTGAGAGAGTCATTTCATGCTAGTAGACCACAATATCATTGACATTTAGAGTACACTACTTACTTTATAATATTCCAACTAATCACTTTTTTCTCTTCTATTGTTGTTTTGAAAGCAAATCAATGCGGTTTTATTTAGAGATAAACTGAAATAGAGTCAGCCGGGACAACGTCCCAATACATAGTCGTACCATGTTCAAAAGCTGTAAAAGCTAAAGTGTGAGCTATGTAATTCTGTGATCTAGGAATAAAATTAATTGAGCAGAAATCAAACGTAGATATGCAAATTTTGCAACCATCAATAGCATAACCAATATATGATCGAGACGGAGCACTTGGTGAAGATAGGTAGCACTGAAGTGTATGACAATCCGTGTATATCTCTATAGACTGTTCTTCACGAGACCTTAGCCATGACAAGGCCTCTTTTGCACGCGAATGCTTCAGCCATAAGTGGAGAAAACAACTCGGGAGGGAATCGCTGTAGGCCGAAACATAACCACCTTCGGCGTCGAGAAGGATTGCTCCGATCGTGGCCGAGTTCGTGTTGTGATGATACTCGACGTCGACGTAGCACCTTCTCGACCGTGTTGCAGCAATCTGGGTCGCAACGGTAGGCAGTGGCGGTGGAGGCAGTGTTGGCAGCGGCGGTTTCTTCGACTGGTGCACGGTCGGCAGCCGCGTAGTGTACTCGTCACCACGCCTGCATGGTGGCAGCCGCTGCGGCAATCAATTTCTTCGGCATTGGTAGATAGGCGTCCCACACCGCTCAATTTCGCGCTCTCCAAATGTGATATAAAATTGCAGCTGCGTACATAATTTCATTAATGTCTAGAACATTCAAGATTGCACTAAACCATACATGGAAAATATTTATCACAATATTGGGGAGTGGAAGGTTAGATTGAGCCCATATGGAATTTGCATAGCCACACAATACTAATGAGGGCATAGTGTCCTCATTAATGATTCCACACATGGCACAAATTGGATCAACATCTACTCTCTTTATAAACAAATTGTTGGTAGTGAGAAGGATATCACTTATAACCCTCCATAAAAAGGTCTTTCTCTTTGTTGTTGGTTGTTGGTCTACCCGCTTTTTCTCTTCTATTGTATTTCTACCCTTTCCCTAATTTTTTTTCTGCTCTTCTTAACATTTTTTATTAATATGCTTTACTTTAAATAAATAATTGTCAATTATTTAATTTATCAACTTTTAAAATTACACAACACATTTGAACAATTTATATGAAAAATATCCAAGTAAATTGACAATTAATAACCATATAATACATTTATAAATTTTGTAAAATCAATGATTATCAATTTATCATAACATACTTGATAATAATTAATTAAAACACTCATAAGTTTTTAAATGAAACAATGCCCCAATGGTCTATCACTATAAATGTTGTGTATAAAAAAGATTTTAAAAATTTCACAAATTAAAATGAGTATATTTCACTAAATTATAATCTTTGCTCTAATTATTTATATAATTTTATTTAAATATATAATAATAATAATAATAATAATATATTATTATTATTATTATTATTATTAAATGCTAATTAACTTTCAAAAAAATTAATATTATGCAACATATAAAATGAATTTATAATATTAAAAAAATGGCAAAACTCTAGTATCATTAAATTTTAAGATTCTAGAAATCTACTTGTGTTTTTTCTTTCTTTTTTTTTTTTTTTTGGTTAGATGAAGAAGAAACTCATAGTTACTATCTTAAAATCTGTACTAGATAAATTTTATTCTTGAGTAATAGTGTGCAAATCACGCAGAAGAAATAAATCGTCTTAAGAGGATCCTATACAATAAACATGATCGAGAAAGTGTTACAATTATTGAAGTTTTTGGTAATTTTGTTTTTTTTTTTTTGAATAGTAATGCATAATATTTTATAACAATTGACAATTTAATAGAAGATTAGTTGAGTAGTAGGTAATCGGCTATAACGTAAGAAGTTGGTGATGTTGTGAAATTTGTGGACAGAATTTAAAGAAAACAAAGTACAAGACCCATTAAGTGCAATTAATGCAAAAAGGACCTCTTTGCAAAAATTTCAATTTCCTTCTTCCTCAAACAAGCTGGAGATATGTATTAGGTCTAAAGAGGTTTCTAGACTCGGCAAAGCTTCCCTATAACGCCTGCTCAATTTTTATGCATTGTTATAGACATCGCTAATTCATTTGCCTAGGGCTAGGGTTAGGGTTAGGGTTAGGGTTTATTGGAGCAGGGAAATCAAGAATCATCAATGGAGGAGATAACGGAGGGAGTGAACAACATCAACATTACCGGAGGAGGCGGCGGCGGCGACCTTCAGAAGAAAAATCGCATTCAGGTCTCCAACACCAAGAAGCCCCTGTTCTTCTATGTCAATCTTGCTAAGGTTTAACCCTTAACACACTCACCTCCTTGGTTTTGATATACATGTATGTATATGTATATATGTGCAATAGTATAGTATAGATATGAAGTTGAGGGATTGCATATTGATCTGCTAAATCTGAAGTTGAGGGATTACATATTTACATGTATAGTTGTGAGCAAATGTTCTTGAGTATTACTCTGTTTGAATTTAAGGATTGGCCTTTTGGTCTCTGCAGAGGTATATGCAGCAGCACAATGAGGTGGAGCTTTCTGCTCTTGGAATGGGTATGGCTTTATGGTCCTTCACTCCTTTAGCTTTTCCTGCTTTTTTGATTCCTACCCAGAACTTCTGTGTTTCAGAGTTTATATATTCGTTATTATGATGCAACATTGCAATGTGCACAAGTATTTGGCTTGATAATGTGTTTTTATTTTTTTATTTTTACTTATCTGGATGAAAGGTAGTAGTTTGGCATGACTCTTCCATGGCATTCTGAAATTATCTGTTATTAGTCATTAATAAATCCTGGTTATATTGCAGCAATTGCAACGGTAGTCTCAGTAGCAGAAATTCTTAAGAACAATGGACTGGCAGTTGAGAAGAGTAAGAACATTTCTGAAGAAAATAGTTGTTTCCTTGCCATAACATGATTTAGTTACTAATTATGAACAGTAAAGAATCCCTTTGAAAATCTTTATCCGTTGCTGGTTTGGGTTTCCACAAAATGCTGAAGCAAATATAATGGTTGCATTGCAGAGATTATGACATCAACTGTTGATGTCAAAGATGATTCAAGAGGGCGGCCAATCTCAAAAGCCAAAGTAAGTTCTGTTTTCTAGGTTTTTAAATACTATCTACCACGTAGGGATTGGTTTAACACTTTAACATGCTTGAAAATGTAGCCTTATATACTACTTAGCATAGGTAGTTGGTCTGTACTATTTGAATGTGTTACGATATAATACCTACCGTACATGCAGCCTTACTTTTTGCTGCGATGGGGGATTTGAACTACAGTTCTCTAAGTCTAAGAGGCGTCACCTTAGCCAACTAAGCTAAGGATCACTATTGATGATTATGGATATGAGTTATCTACAATCAATTTACGTAGGGATTATTTTCTTAAATAAGTTAAAGCTTGTTTGCACCTCCATAATTTATAATCTTTGCCAAATAGTGGACTAGTTATTTAATGCATAATCTCGATAACCATTTTAAATAAGCTTTACCTAGATACACAGAAGGTTTTAAATGCCTCATTAATATAATACAGAGTACCAAAAACTTTCTGCAGGTATTAAAAAACATGTCAATTATTTCTTTAAGTTGCATAAAAATAGATCATCCTCCATTAGTAGTGAGTTTTCCCCAATTACTAATTTATATAAATGTACCATTAGTTTCTGTGACAAACTGTTGTAGCTCATTAAATTCAATTGATTACTTCATGACCTTGACAATCTCTTGTTCTTGTTTTCAGATTGAGATAGTACTGGGAAAGACTGATAAATTTGATGAAATAATGGCAACAGCTGCTGAGGACCATGGAAATGGTCAAGAGGAGAGTTGATGACCACTTCCGCTTTGTCTTTTTTTTTTTTCGTCTTGGTTTTTATGTATGCTTGATTAGATTAAGTTTAGTGTTTGGCATTTATTGTTTTAATTGGATAAAAAAAAAATTAGAACATTCAGGTCCCTAGTTTGGCTCCTGTGAGAAAGGAAACTTATCTTGTCAAAGCTATTGGTAGTGAACTTGAAAAGCAAGTGATACTTATATCTATCTCAGAGTTTTCTTTTAAATTAATTGTTTTTTGGCATTTCATCTTTGATGGATTTGATTCCTTATCTTTGTACTATATACAATATTAATTTAATAAATAAGTGAAGAGAAGTCATTTATGTGGATATGTAATAATGCAAAGAAATGAATGTAGGTACTAACCAGCCTGGTACCACTTTAAGGTACAAGATAGACCTTTAGATATTTGGGAAGAATTAAAGTTGACTATGAGAAAAAAGATTTGTTCCTAACTACTACTACAAGGTTCTCTATTCATGTTTGCAATCTTTAACACAAACAAGGGTCTAAGCAGATTTGGTCCTTGTACACACTCACATTTGGCTCTGTTTGCGAACATTGACATTTGGCCCTGTTTGTGAAGGTACTGGGGGATCCTTGAAGTTAGAGATTCAACCTTTTTCCAAAGTTAAGATTATTGAAGATTGCTATAGAGAAATGGAGATGCTTTATGACATAGGCTAATGTGAGAGAGCTAAGGGAGACTATTAAGGCTAGATTCCATAATGGGAAATGAGAGTGGAGATTGCTAGAGAGGTTGATCACTTGATTGCAACACTATGTGGAATTTGAAGAGATGGCGTATATATGTGGCCGTGAGGGTGGAAAAGAATTTGAAGAAGGGAGGTTTTAGTTATTCTACAAATTACTCCACTTCATGAAAACCACAAGCTAGCAACCAAGAGAAGTATGGAGGAGGAGACTTATAGCATGTCAATGTCCTAATAAAAGTGCAATGGTGATTAAAGACCATGGGGAGATTGAGACAACTAGTGAAGATAATGATGAAGATGATGAGGAGAAAAAGGAGGAGAGTGATGAATAGTGTTGAGTGTGGAGGTTAAGGAAGATGATGAAACAGAACAAAGGTTTGGAGATCAAGGCAAGTTGACCCGCCAAATAGTTGTTGTTTATCGAGCCATTTCCATTCAAGTATAAGTTGTAAATATTAAATTCATAATGTGGAATGGGCAGAAATTTGTCTGGGATGATTTTGGGAGAAGGTTTGTCTAAGGGACTTGGGAGGAGGTTTCCTAAGGGACTTGGGAGGAGGTTGCCTAAGGGAAAAGCATGGGGCTAGATTTGCTTTGGGGAAATTTGCAGGAGAAGTTTTTCTTGCATTGCAAGTTCTAGGCATTTAATATTATATTAAATGCTTAAGAATTCTCTAGACCCTTTTGGATCCTTCATTCATCAGATCATCCCATCCTTTCTCATCTCATCCGAAATATACAGAGAGTATAGCAAAAATTCTGTAGAGAAAAATAGAGAGTTAATTCCTATTGTATTTATCCTTTTGTCAATACAGAAAAAATTATTCTTCAATTTTTCTTGCTTTGTGTATGATTTATTTTAAATCTTACACTAGAATTTATTCTCAATATTTCCGGTTCAAGTTGCTATTGTAAATTTGGTGGTGTGAACCAGTTTCGATCCTAACATAAGTAAGATTTAAAAAAGAAAAAAAATTATTGTCAATACTTTGTTAATTAAGTTACATCTTGCTTGATACTTTTTCTACTAAGTTGTTGGGATTTGATATCATGAAATGTTCATACCTTGATGATAAAGATTTTGGTTATGTCTATGTTGCTTGTGAAAAGGGTGTTGTTGATACTATATCAATAATGGATTTTTATTTTATGAAAATAAAATTTGCATTCCCTGTTACTATATTCATGAATTGTTGGCGCATGATACACATAGTGAGGGTTTAGTGAGACATTTTGGTATTGCTAAAACTTATGAAATCTTGCAAGAGTATTTTTATCGGCAAAAAATGAAAGCATATATGATGTGCACAAAGTTGTTATTAACAACTTTTATATATATATATATATATATATATATATATATATATATATATATAAGGGCTAAATCTAGAACTATGTCTCATGATTTATATCTATTAAAGTTGAGTATGGATCCACTAAATTTGTTTAAAGTAAGTCCACATTTGTAAAAAGTGGATGGGATGTAAATTCACACATAGTGGGAACCTCGATAGTGTGATTGTGTCCTGCGACGTGGTACACGGAGGATGGTTTGGCAAAAAAAGCTCTAACACCTAACAAGACACACATTGACTGTGGATGACAAAGTGTTGTGGTCCACGCACTTATCCATGACACGAGGTCTCGAGAGTAATATAAAATCAGGGGAGGGGATAGGGGGTGATGTCCGGTTTAGACCATCATCAACTCTATGCATGTTCTCTTTGACTTCTTCCTTAGTCAAATGACTAGTGTGCTAGCAATCTGCAATAGTGGTCCACATAGTTGTATAGACCATGGTCTAAAAATACATAAAGTACATTATTCTAACTCATTAAAATATATTATCTTACAACAAAAATCTATTATTTTAACACATAAAATACATTATTCTAATTCATGAGGTACATTATCTTATTCCAAAAATTTTATTATTTTAACACAAATTTTTTTCAACATTAAAACAATGTCATTTTGAATCTTGATCCACATAATTAAAATATCAATTTTTTTAATAAAGGTAACACAAAAAATCTGTCCAATTTAGCTTGGATTTCTCTCAAGCGGTGAAATTTAACATGCGAAATACACCAAAGAAAAAATGATAACAGCCTAACAGGTAGAGCTCAGCCAAAACAACCTTGACAACATAAAATGAATCTTAAATTTAAACTCAAGTCCTATGAACTAAAGCGGGGATAGCTCAGTTGGGAGAGCGTCAGACTGAAGATCTGAAGGTCACGTGTTCGATCCACGTTCACCGCATTCCCAGTTATGCATTTTATGTAGTTTACATTGCATTCAATACCCCGCACTATAACACTAGTTTTTCCTAGTACATAGTTTCAGGATGAATAATATAAGACAAAACAAAATCTTGTCCCAAACTCAATCTATACTTCCAGTGCAGATTTTATTTTTAGTAGTATAGATAAGATATTTAATTTATCTTTTTTCTTAGATATCTTCTCTAGTTGGTTAACTTGTCTTACGTGCTATAAACCTATAAAACTATAGCTGATATGGGGCACCTTCCAAATCCCATCATATCGGTATGCACATTACCAACTCTTTCTTTTTCTTTTTTAAACCGCCATATACTCAGCTCCTTCTTTGGCTTTCTTCTCCGGCAGAGTAGAGTAGCGCAGCTCCGGTGATGGGGTTCCACCAAGTGTTTCCAAATCATGTGTTATCTATAAACCTTTAACTACTAAGTTAGCGATGTATACTGTCATCAATGTCTAATCAATACGAAAATCATCTTCTTGGGACTTGAGTCTCTCGAGAACCAAATATGACAATATAACCATGCAAGCTATGAATAGAGTGAACTGCAAAACATAAAAGATTGAACATCAAAATTCATTTTGGGTTAGAATTTTGAAGCACAAAAATCCGGGGGGGCATACCACAAGAGGCAGGGTCAAGAAACTCCAAATTGGCCACAATGCAAAAGAGAATCTGCACCCAAGATTTCAGGTTCATATGAGATTAAACTCAAAGATGTATGATAATAAGCATTTCTTAGAGACATGAATGTTAAAACATTTTAACTCTCTGTTAACTGCCAATACTGAAACTAAAACAGTAAAAATAAACCAATCTGAGGCTTAGCCAAAATTCAAGAGTACTAATTCACTACAATAATCAAGTGTGTGAGAATACAAACAACACAACTTGTAAGTCTAAACACAAATTTGTGTAATATGAGCTCTGAAAATAGATTGTTACTGAAAATCTAAATTGCGCCAGGAAAAACTGATCCTACTGGCCATCTTCCCGTTCAACCAATATCCTCTTGCATGCCTCGTAACACATGAAAGAGATTCCAGCAGCCGGGACTATTTTGACGCAGCTCGGTCCTAAACCCCGGTACAGTCCCGGGATCCCTTCGTGTTCCAGTACGCTCACGAGGGCGTGAAGCATGTTTTGGTATTGTCGGCCATTAAGAGCCCCGGCTTGCATATGCTTCCGAGCCACCTCTAGAGGGAAAGTTGCACTACTCGAGATGGCACCCGCTGCAGACCCGATAAGGAGGGTCGCGACGTTTCCAATTTCTTCTTCTTTGAAGATCTGCTTGTAAGCCTTCCTTAGCGTGTCGTACGCAAAATAATTTGTCGCTGCATATGGAATCACTCCGATTAGACTCGGAGTCAGGCCTCTATATAGCTCCGCAGGCCCCTCCTCTTTGACGATTTTCACCAAGGCATCCAGCAGATTCTTGTACACGCCCCTCTGTCAAATACTTACACGTCAATCCAATAGCCGAAAACATGGGAATTGAAGCATGTGCTCCATCTCAACTAAAAGCCTAAGCTGATAGTTGGATTGCACATTAATGGCTATTTGCTCAACAATGGGAACACGAGAAATCAATTTGTGCAGCATACCTGAATAGTCAGCCGAGTTTTCAGAAGCTCGAGTGGGTAAGTACATATAGTTGAACTGATTCCCGCAACGGCACCTGAAATCAGAGAAGCGGGTATAGGTAATTTGGGCTCTTCACCGGGTTTAGGCGTCAACTCTTTTTTGACCGTGTCATAAGCAAACAACTGCAAGCATCAAAAGCGCACGTGTTAAGCCAGAGGTGAGATAAATTACACACTATCTGATCAAGAAAAAGAAAATTAGTCTGCACGGGCTTTAGCTCACTGGTTCAGTAGGCAGTATTTGGGGGAAAAGAAAAAGAAAATTAGTTACTCTAATGGATGTTACTCAAACAATGAAACAACATATGTTAATCCATAACACTAATGTAAGGAAAGATCAATTCAAGAATGAACAAAACTTTTGAATACTATCATTCGGAGATGCAAAGGAATTGGTGACATATCAAAAGTAGCAGCAACAAACAAGAATTAAATAGCTGAAATTGCAAAAAGCTCACCACGACAAAAATTTGATCATGTTCATTCTGGTGATAGTAACACAAACACAACTTCTAAATACAGAATAATAGACATTTTTTACCTCTATCGCCTTGCTTGGCGCAACCCGTATTACATTGACAAGATTTCCTCTAAAGAGGCCTTTCCACCCTTCGTTTTGCATGATATTCTGAAACACTTCGGTTGTCGAGTGTCCATAGTTACCCACCATCAAATGCGTCCTTATTGTCTCAAGCGGAGCAACTGATGTCCTCGAAATTGCGCCCGCAATTGCCCCACTAATCAACCTTCTCAAAGATGGATTCCCAACCTTAATTTTCAACTTAAGACCAATCTTCTTCTTCTTTTTCTTTACCACCCCTTCCTCCACCTCCAATACTTCACCCGAAACTAACTCGGGCAATCCACTCTCCTTAAACCCCATTTCAGGCAGCTTGTACTGTCCAAATAAATTTGTGGGAGAAAGATTCAAACCAGTATTGGTGGAGTTTGGTGGATTAGGGGATATCCCATATCCCATTCCCATCTGTCCCACACTTGCAAATAAGCCACCTGGGTGATAACCTTCATCTTGAGGACACCAGAGAAACCCAATTCCAGAATTTAAGAATGGCATCTCCTCATTGTTTCCAGCCCCTTGTAACCTTCTCCTATCCATATCTAAACTAAACCTTTTGTTTTTCTCTGTATATATATATAAAGGTGCAAAAAACTCTTCAATCTTGGGTAACCAAGACTATAACTTTATATTCCAACTCACTAAAAAACGAAAGAACAAATGAATTTCCGGAAATGGGTAATAGTAAAGTTGGCCAAAAATCGAATCTTTAACGAGCAAGGATTATATAAACGAATAATTTCTTAATCTACGCAAATGGCAAACAGGACGCAGATTTTCCAGCAACTGCTTTGACTACTGGGGATTAAATAACTCTGCTAAAAAATCAAATCTTTGTCGGCTGAAAAGCACAAGAACCTGAAAGGATGAAAATTGGAAAAAAGAAACTATGACAACTTAAAACGAACGAACAAACATCTGAGATAAGGAGGAGAAAACAAAGATGGGCGGAGATTACCTGGCGAGCTTTTTCCTCTTCTTTATCTCTCTTTCCCTGATTGTTCTCTTCTCCCCTTTCTTCTTAGAGAGAAAGGGTTGAAGAGACAAACGAACTATGATTTCTCCTTTGCGTTACCTCGTCGTAAACTAGGCAAATTAAATGAGGTTCTTTTTCAGGGTAGGTGAGAATTGAGAGTTGAGAGAGGGTAGAGATTCGAAGACCTAACAGTCGCCACTCACCAAAGTAGAATATAACAGTGAAAAAAAGTAAATAATAATAATAATAATAATAATAATAATAATAATAATAATAATAATAATAATAATAATAATGAGCAATGGATTATTAAGTTATTTTCAAATGAACATAAAGTAAATTTTGCATTGCAATTCATGTCTTTTATATTTGATTTTTTTAAACAATATACTCCGTATATAATGAAATGAATATAAAATTATTCGAGAGGAACACAAAAAAAAATTTATTAATTTGTTTTATGGTATCAAGTATTATACTAAATCATAAATTGTGAGTAGGTGAGTAATGTTTGATTTTGATCGGACCAATTTTTATTAAAAAAAAAAACAAGTATAGTTATTAAATTTGCTCAATTTTACGTATAAATCCTAAAATGGCATTTATAAAATATAATAAGATGGATTAAATATCAAAGAGGATATAGTCGTGTTATTGATAAAAGTAAAAAGTTATGATATAATATTATAATTATTAATTTCTATAATTATGTTATTATAATATTATAGTAATTAAATCTTATTTTATACATTTTAGGAAAAAAATCATAATAAGTAAATAAATTAAGAATATTTCGTATTTAGAAAAAAAAAAATCAGTTTTAATTCTAGATTATATGACATTGTCACATTTATTCATATTTTTTTAAATTTGTCATATTACATCCTTGACTTTTATTTGTGTGTCACAATTAGTTCTCCGTTCAATTTTTTTTTTTTGTTTTGTTTTTTTTTTGTCATTTCATCGTTTAAGGTCTAATATATAATTTTTATCATTCAAGCATCTTGCCCCAACATTTAACTTCTCTCATTCTCCTGTAAATTCCTTTAATTAAATGATTAGATAACATATTAGACATATTTATTTATTAAATGGTATAATAACAAATTTTTAAAATGATGATTAATTGTAACAAGCAAATTAAAATCACAGAAGTAATACATCAAAATTAAAAGACCAAGACTAAATGTGAAAATACCAATAGTCGATAACTAAAAGTGAAATTTGCTCCCTTTTTATAATACATTTATTAACCTCTTGAAGTTATTTATTTATTATTAAAAAGAACGTATATACAACCGGGGTGTGTGTGGTTGAGTGGAAGGGGTTTATCCATCCTTAACCAAATATCAATGGTTCGATCATTGATTTTGAGTATGAAGTAGCTTTAAATCTCCCTAGGCAACCAATATCATATACATTTGTCATATCAAGTCTAAATAGGTAAATAACTCACAAGTAGTTTCACTGCTTACACCACTAGTTCCATCTAATCTAGATCAACAGCTTAGATTCTCACCCTATTTTTCACTTGGGAGACTCTTCGCACGTGAAACATTCTCCCTCTCTCTCTCTCTCTCTCTCTATACATACATACATATACATACATATATATATATATATATATATATATATGTATGTATATATATATGTATATGTATGTATGTATAGAGAGAGAGAGAGAGAGAGATGGAGCATATGAGACACTTGTTTAGGTGAGAACGTGAGAACAAATCGTGTGCATTCATATAATATTTTTAATGGTCTAGATTAGATTAAGTGTGTGCGAACGCGAATTAAATGTGTGTAAACGCGAATTAAATGTGTGCAAACGCGATTAAGTGTGTTTGCACACATTTAATTCGCGTTCGCACACACTTAATCTAATCTAGACCATTAAAAAATATTAGATGGATCCACACGCTTTGCTCTCACGTTCTCACCTAAACAAATCTTCTCATTAGAACACTACTATATATATATATATATATATATATATATATATATATATATATATATATATATATATATATATATATATATATATATATATATATATATATATATATATATATATATATATATATATATATAGGGAAAGGTTCAGGTGCGGGTATACCTTCCCGTGCAGTTGTGCGGTTAGATCTGAGCTATTGATCAAATTTAGATCAACGGCTCAAATCAATAAACATTTAAAAAAAAAAAACGCATGTCGGGAAGAAGATAGCGCCTACACAGCGTCTACACAAATGATAGCGTTTACACATAGCGTCTACACAAATGTTAGCGTCTACACAAATGATAGCGTCTGCACAACCTCACGCACATTAAGTACAAACCCCACACACATTAAGCACAGCTTCACGCACATTAAGCACAAACCCCACGCACTTTAAATATTAACTCACAGATTTTAAGTTTCAACAACTATTGACATTAAGCACAACCTCATGCACATTAAGTACAAACCCCACACACATTAAACACAACATCACGCACATTAAGCACAAACCCCACACACTTTAAATATTAACTCACAGATTTTAAGTTTCAACAACTATTGACATTAAGCACAACCTCACGCACATTAAGCACAAACCCCACGCACTTTAATATATTAACTCACAGATTTTAAGTTTCAACAACTATTGACATTAAGCACAACCTCACGCACATTAAGTACAAACCCCACGCACATTAAGCACAACCTCACGCACATTAAGCACAAACCCCACGCACATTAATCACAGATCCACTCACCTTAATTTTGACCTACATGCAAAAATTACAAAATTGCCACCGCGTTTTTTTTTTTTTTTTAAATTTTGACAATTCTGGAAGTTGATTTAAGCGAGATGAATGGTCCAGATTAAACCGCGCAACTGCACCTGGGCACTCTAACCGCACCAGAACCTAATTCTATATATATATATATATATATATATATATATATATATATATATATATCAAGTATAATCTGTTCTAAAAATAAAATATTGGAATTTAATAAAACAAAATACAGTTTTAAATGGGGTCAACTAGTAGTCAATATATGTGGTAATTAAACCTCAGGAGTCAAAATATACAAGAAAAATGGGACAAGGAGAAGTTAAAATTGATAAGTGTTGGTAGGTAATGATTAAATTTGTTTTAATGTGAATAATTCACCAACCCCTCTGAAACATTATTCTTTGAATTGTTAGTTGGCTTTCGTATCAAAATTACGGACGAAAACATTAAACATAAATCGAACCAACAGTGGGAATTATATAATTCAATAACCATTCGAACGTAGTCACGTGTTGTGTTTTTGATATTCCTTTTTCAATAGCACATTAAACAATACATTAGGTCCTGTTTGGTAAAATAGTTAATCTATCAATTAATTTTAATTTATTTGACCATTATTAATCGCTTGACTGAGTTAAACAATCAATATGAGTGTTTGATTAATTAATTTTTTGTAATAATTTATTGCTCTAAAATGTTAAAATTCAAAAAGCTACTCAAAATAGCTTTTACAATAAATTTTTTGAGAAAGTCATTTTGTATGTAATCAACTAACAGTTAACAACTAATTTACCAAACATTTTTTTACAATCAACTAATGCTATCAACTAGTCAAGTCCACTAACCTAATCAGCTAACAGTCATTTACTAAACACCGCGATAATTGGCGACACTCAAAATAATAGCATATCCTCAACTTGAACCCTAGCAACACTCGGTTGAGTTCTTCGTAATGTAGGTGAAATTGAATTTCCCAATTGGAGCACAAATTCTACCTAAATATTGAGGATTAAAGAGATGATAGGGAAGTTTAGGCAAAAGTATCCATACAACAACATTTCTTGAATTGAATTTCCCAATTGGAGCACAAATTCTACCTAAAATATGAGGATTAAAGAGATGATAGGGGAGTTTAGGCAAAAGTATCCATACAACAATTCTAGAATTGAATTTCCCAATTGGAGCACAAATTCTACCTAAAATACGAGGATTAAAGAGATGATAGGGAAGTTTAGGCAAAAGTATCCATACTACAACATTTCTTGAATTGAATTTGTTATTTAGAGTGAAAGCACACTTGTACCCTTATTTTTCACCGCCTAAACGGCCGAAAATAATGGAAGGACCACGGTGGGTTGAAATTCAAAAGTCGAAGGATCACGGATACTCAATTTGAAAGTTTAGAACTAATCGTGACAAAACCACCATACTCGGAGGACCATAGAAGGCATTAAATCCACAATATAACTTCAATATTTATAAAAAAAAAAATTGTGCATCGCATGGATAATTTACTAGTGTATTATAATGGTTAAAACTTTTACTCCATATGTATTATATCAACTAGTATTTTATATGCACGATGCACAAAAATATATGCAAATATTAATACTAAATGTTCAAATACGAAGTATTTTTTTTTTAAATAATAGTGTGTGTGTGTGTGTGTGTGTGTGTGTGTGTGTGTGTGTGTATATATATATAATTTATAGTTGTAGAATTTATATTATATTAAATAAAATTATAGTTGACAATTTGAGTAATAATTATGGTATAATTAATTAATATTATTAAAGTAATAATTTTAGATATGATATATTACTAAATATAGTTATAGTAAAATTTAATGAAATCAAACTTATTTCTTATACGAAGTAATAGCGTATCTATATACATTATTATCATTGAAGAATATAAAAAAAGATATTTTGTATGCATGTGCATGGTAATAATAATGGTAAAAGATAACATAAGTTATAACGACATAAATATTTTTGTCCACAAAATTATATAATACAACTCTTATTGCATAATGTATTCAAAAATTTAACAGAAAAACCAGACATATCTCAAGGATATAGATAACTTGTATTAAGACTTATTGGCCCTGTTTGGTAAAATAGTTAGTTTATCAACTAACTTTAGCTTATTTGACCACTATTAGTTGTTTGACTTGGTTAAAATATCAATATAAGTGTTTGATTAAACAGTTTTTTGTAACTCCAAAATGCTAACATTCAAAAAGCTGCTCAAAGCAACTCTTTCAATTAGCTTTATAAGAAAAGAAATTATACCAAACAACTATCAACTAACATCTAATTTACCAAAGATCTTTTTACAATCAATTAATATTATCAACTAGTCATACTCTTTAACACAATCAGCTAACAGCTATTTACCAAATAGGCCGGCCATTATA